CTGAATATAAACTTGCCGCGAAGGAGCCATTGAGCCAGCGTCGTCTTTGGCTCAGAAATTCTGCGGCGCCTATCGAAATCAGCACTCGCGCATGTTGGCATCAGACTGCAATGCCCTACCTTCTGGTACGTCTGTTTCCCCCTTTGAAGCTTTCACATATGTTAACGTCCACCTAGAGCCCGCCTTCGCAACGAGCTCAAAACATAGAATGCGGTCCTCAGCCAAGAACATATTCTTCTTGAATATATTCATTCCTTCGATTCCTTTTTTGCCTAGCTTCTGAGACAACGTATGATCCCCATGGAAGTACTGCTCTAAAGGCCGACCCATTATAGCTCGGTACCGGTAAGCAGAGAATGCGCCTGGTAGAACGCTGACATAGCCAAACGCGCTTTCCAAAGGCTTGTCCAAGATATTAGAAATTTTATATTCAAAGTTCTGCGCAGCGACCAGAGGATTCAAGAGTTTCTCCCAGCGTTCACCTAGGAGGGCATGAATCTCACCACATGCTCCTCCGAGGTTCTTATTATTATAAAATGCCTCCCAAAGAGCAAGTAGAGATTTGTGCCCTGGCTTCGTGCCGGCGTCGATCAAGATAACAACCTCAGGGTTCAGTAGCCTGCCAAATGCGTTAAAAAGCCATCGGTGTGAGTTGATCTTTTTGCTATTTTTCTGCTTCAGGCAAAATATTGTCTGGACTGGTGGCAGTGTTGTTGGCTCATCGCCATGCGGGCGAATCAACTGTTGTGACGGCGTGATGGACAGTTGAGTTGTGTATTCGAACTAATAATCACCAGTCAGCAAAAGATGGAAAGTACCATAGAGGGTAACGAACAATATGAGCAACAGTCTCTCTGCCATCTACATCGTGCTTCATGATTCCATCCTGGTAGACACCAACGGTGGCCAGGACATCAAGCGTATTCTTATCACAGGGGTCAATGCCATCGAAGACAAGACAAACAACGATTTTCTGCCAGGCTGGCCCTCCTTTATTCCAGAATTCTGTTTTCTTGAGATTAACGATGTCCCGAATATTTTGCATCACGCCGTGCAGGGTCCGCGCCGTGAGCACTTTATCCTCGTTGTAGTAAGTAATGGCGATAAGTAATTCTGTAGACCTGTTATACATGGACGGCCGTAGGTTGTATCCATTGCGTAGGGTGAACTCGTCAGGGTCGCAAGTCGCTGCTGTATCTGTAATCTGTTAGCTTCCTCAATCTGCTTTGACATGGATGCTTACATCTAAGATGTGTGAACTCTTCAGTAAATCCTTCCCCAGCGTCACGATATTTTGGTTGGATAGCATTCCGGATAGCGCTAGGTACTGGATAATCTACGCTCAGGACGCTGCCTTGGACCAAATTAATCCTTCGGGTAGGGTATCGACGAAGGGCACTGGGCGCTGGAGTTTGTCGCTGTCGCCACGAGTCCGGTGTTGAAGCATCATCTGAGTGTGTGAAGGTTGGAGATGAGGTAAACGGATCTCTGCTTATTGACTGAGGACTTCGTGGATGACTCGACTGCCACTTCGTACTAGGACTTCGTAGAGAGAGCTGTTCTGGAGTCTCATGGCTGAACGGTTGCGATTCAGGTTCATAGGCAGGATAGGGAGGACCCAAAGGAATAGAATGTAGTAAAGACTCCGCATGTTCACCGTGATATAGTCGGTCTTCGCGATCATACCTTTCCTGAGAAACAATTGAGTGTCAGAAGGCAGCCGCATCTTCGACCAGACCCAAACCATATCTTTTTGTGGTTGAGACTCACATTAGGCGAGCGACCTTTCCCCAGTGGCGGACTATTCTCAGTAGATACTTGGGAATATACCGATTGATCTGATTGCCCAAACTGGTTATCCATGATTTTACCGTTCTATAGTGAAGTAGCCGGCAAGTCTGAGTGCCATCAAATTACACAGGCTCTAGAGTTTTCCTATATCTCTAGCCCTAGTTTACTAGGAGACAAGTTAGGTAACAAGGCAAATACTCTACGAGACAATAGCTTCCATAATGCGCGCCCAGTGGACCACTAACTTCAAGGCTACTGATAATTCATGAGCAATGGTACTGTTGTTTTTAGGGTTTGGCCAACGGCACTGTGGGGCCGCCATGGGAATCATTCTGGAAGCAGATAAAAATAGCCGGCGATACTCTTCATTTTCCGAGCGCCGGCTTTTCCACCACTTTAGACCGAGAGATGAAGAACGAGAAAAAAAAAAAAAAAAAAAAAAACTCTGAGCGATGCACGCCGGGTGAAACTGGTCGTGACTTAGTTCCCCGAGCGCAGCTTCAGTTTCTCGGAACAAGCGAGATTGGTGCTATAACAGAGGCAGTTTGGTCATGGAAATTTGCTGTCAGCTCGGCGTTAGATGTTATATGTGCTTCGTATTCATCTATGTAAACCGCTAATACGAGAATCATTATTCAAGCTCATAAGTACAGACGCTTGACCCTACCAAACCAAGAAGCAGACCAAGAAACCTCTTACGATTGCCCGGGCTTGACACGTTAGCTCCAGACTTCCCCTTATCGCAAGCACCCGGCATATTCTCGATTGACTTGGCTAAACAGCGGGAATGGATCTGCATATACGACTCGATCAAGAGAGGGGAGCATATACAGAAAAAGACACTGTCTCTGGCCATATCTTCCTTCGTAACAAGTCGCCAGTCAATATCGCAACCATCACAGTCAAGTTGTCTGGGATAGCAACGTCACGACTAAGCTCTGGGAAATATATCGAGTCCCATCAGGTACGTCTATCGAGATTCACGAGCGAATAGTCGTTTCTTAACACTCCTCATATGCAGTTATTCCAAAGAGTTCAAAATGTTTTCCCACCTCATAAGATGTCGGATATGCCCGTTTCTAAAAACTTAACGGTCGGCTCTGGGACGCACATCTTTCCTTTCTCCCTCACGGTAGGTTTCACGACCTCAAGCAACATGCCAATCTCGAGCTCTTTTACTCATACACGTTTCGCGTTTCTTTTAGTTTCCTTCAACATCGGAATGCCATAAAATCAGCTTAGATGAGATCAAACCAAACCCGTCTTGCACGGGGTTTCTATATCGGAAGAACAGAACCCACCATCTTCTACGAAGGCTTCCACCCTCGACTGGAGACACTCTATCGACTTGGGAGGTCAGGTACTTTCTGAACGTGGCCGTGACAAAGACTGGTCTCTTAAAAGGAGTGGAGAAATTAGTTGAGTAGCCTGGATCCATAGGAAAAGCACATTGACAAATCATACTAACCACTCTGTTCTTCCCTGGCAGACTCGCAATATCCTTTTCTATCCCGTGCATGACTTTAGCCTTCCGAAAAGTATACTTGGAAGAAGGTGTCTTCTCTCCATCAACCATGATTCTGTCAACTCCAGCAGCCCGATAGCATATCAGGTTGACGTCGAACTTTTGAACGGACAGTGCTTACTTCTGGGCTATCCCATCCCATTGAAGATTAAACTTACGAAGGTCGGAGACAGAGACTGCTTTGTGTGGTTAAATGACTTCCAGACCATGCTTGTGGGATCAACGGAAACGCATGCATCTGGGCTTGTCGAAAAGGACACACAGTTCCAGGTCATACAAACCATGTCAAACATCCATCATGTTGTCTGCCATGATGGGGCTTCAAATGGGACTGAATTATCCATTGGAGATAGTCTCTGGAACAAGCATCGACTACCAATCGCTCTCACGCCATCGTTTGAGACTTGTAATATCAGCCAAACATATAAACTTGAAGTGAGGCTCGGTTTGCAAAGTGGCTACTCTAAGGTAGGGAAAACCATGGCCTATCTCGAGTTGTGCTAACGTTTGATGCAATCGAATAGTTCAGAACGACGATATTGGAGTTTAGTTTCCCCGTTTATCTCACGCCTCCACCGATGGATCCCGACCCGTATGAGGCGAAATGTGCTAAACTGTTCTAGTATATTTTTTTTCTTATGTATATTATATCTGGTTTTGGATGATTTTTTAAGCTGCGCTTCCCATGTCACGGAAAATGTTCTATGAGATAACCCCCCAATCGCATACTCCAAAGAGTTACCGTTCTTGTTTCATGACGGTGTCTAATCATTTCACTTAATTCCAACATATATTTATACTAATAATCCTTGTAAGACTAAATGGCTGGATCTAGCCCAGGGTCAGTAAATGTCAATTTTATCTTTTTGACTGTTCTCTTAGAAATTATTTTTACGTATCATTTTACATTTGAGCTTATAGGACTTGTATTAGGCCCATACGACCTATAAGCGTCACAGGGATGTGTTCTTTGCAGGATGTTTTGAGGGTTTCAGCAATTGACCGTGGAATGAGTTCAAAGAACGGTCAATCATATCTCTAGTAGGTTATGTAGAACATGGTTTAATATCGCTGTATATAGAAGGCTTTTAATATACACCTTACCTTAACAATAATATAGAACAGGGTACTTTTTCTCCACTTAGTTAACTACAGAGCAACCATGGGACTTCAGTCAAAAAGACATGACAGCCATCCAATGGTCTTAAGCGTGAGTGTATCCACTTTCTTGCATCGTCTGTTTGTTTTATCGCACGATAATAGGGGAATGTCATTGACCCAGGGGGCTTTCTGCATTATAGAAACAATGAGACACATAGCTCCACCCATGCTTCAAACATCCAATCCCTGAGCTGTCTATCATACTGGTTGCAGTGCGGCAACTTGGTTAGATGTGAATAAGTATACATGGAATCACCCAGACATAGTCAATGTAGCTTTAACCGCTGGTTTTTAACTCTCGATACCTGTCTAGTTATGTTTACAAAGGGCTTGGTTTACTCGTTTAGAGGCACCTTTGATCTCTTGTGGGTTGTCGTCATCCCTCTCTTGCTAGATTGACACATGCTTGGTTACTCTTCAAGACTTGCCCTGAACATTCGCAGTATAATGCAGTACCATCCTCTCAGTTTTGGTGACCTAGGTACCATGGTGCAGAATCCCTCTTCTCTTGTGAAGCCTAAAGATGGTTGGCATTTATGGAATTCCAGGTGCAGAAAAGACAACCTTGTTGAACCAGCTCAGAATGACCCTCGGCGAAGACGAATTCATGAACTTCGAGGGGCGCGATGAGATTGGTAAGCTCGTTTGTGGAGGTATAACATCCTTCAAAAAAACTGGATGATAGGTACCGTCAGGACTTTCGTGAACTAGCTATCAATTGCATCAAACACAAATGTATAGCACATGTTAAGGTCGGCGTGGTCACAGGCCACCTCATGTTCTGGAACGAAGGGGAGGAGTCTGGACCGGCTGTGCATACGCAGAACGATTTGGATACATATACTCATATCATTTACCTTGATGTGCCCAGAGGTGAAGGAGGCTTTGGTTGACCACTTGAAGAGCCAACACCATCTTGGAGTTTGGACTTTTGGAGATAGCACTCTTGACCTGAAAATGCTCTCTAGAGCCGACAAGGCCTTTTTTGTTGTAGGGGACGAAGAAAGTAGAAGTCGGTCTATGGATGAGGCCTTTAAAAACGCCATTGAGGATGATGGTCTGAAGGCAACGCAATGTCTTCGGCCGAGTCATGTACCTCGCCTAACCACGGCGATTCGTCCTGAATTCAAACTTCTCGACCCTCATTTTGTTGATTCCCTCCTGTCAGGCTGCGGTGAGCCCACCAAATTGAACGTCATTAGCGCCGATAAATTGAACCCAGGATCCGTCAAAATTCTGATGACGCCCATGAGAGATATGAGTGTTTAAGGACCACGTTTGAGGAGGGCACACCGTGACGTGGGTTGGTATTTAGCAACAACCTACCTCCCAGAGCTCATTGGAGTTGAAGATATCGCTATACCCCATGCCCAGGGCCATATGGCTACTGGCCATCAACTCTGCGGGGCGGACAATATTCTGATAGTAGTGTTAATGAGGGGTGGAGAGTCCATAATATTCGGGGTCAACAGGGCATTTGAGCGGGCCATGTTCGCTCATGCGAAGCAACCCACTGATCTTCAACACGACCATCTGAACGGCAGATTTGCTATCATTCTCGTTGAGTCAGTCATTAATAGCGGGCGGACTATCCAGGACTTTGTGCGGCATATCCGAGACTTCAACAAAAGATGTTCCTGTTGTGGTAATCACTGGGGTCATGCAAGCTGAATTTGTTTCCGGTGGAAGATTGACTGCTGCTCTTGCGGAATATATCAATCTCCAATTCATAACCCTACGTACTTCGGAGAACAAGTACAAGGGAACATGAGCCACTGACACCGGAAATCGTCTCTTCAACACTCTCCATCTACCCTAAGTTCTTCTTTGGTTTGTTTCTCTGCTGACTTATTCGTATTGTTAAACCTATACATACTCTCTTGATTTCACATTAGTTAAACAAATTGATAGCAACTTCATTTTCTAGGGCTTTTGTAACTGTGCTTCTGATATCTCCCTCCCCAGAGCCATTAAGGATAGAGATTGTCGCGCTGATTCTACTAGGTAGAATTATGTGGAAAGTCATAAATACGTTACTCATCAGCTATTTAACTGGAAAACTGTCATAGCTTTAGGTTTGTTGATTTTTAATATTGCTTGGTAAGCCCTTATTGCTAGTTAAATGGTGTTGAGAGCATTTATAATCGCCATACACGACATTCTTCCCAGCATTTGGTCTAGGCACAATGTGGGGAATAACAAGGACCCACGATGGCCATCTCAGCCGGTATTGTGTATGATTCAGTAGGATTCTTGATGGGTTCAGAAGAGTCATGACATCAATTTGACTTGCGTCGTCCGGTTCCATCCGCCTCGACTATGACGTCTCCCGGAATTACGGAGTTACGGCTATACACCCAGTACCCATTGGCAGTATACGAGCCAAATAAGCATGCTTTGAAAGCTTATAAAAAATCTTAAAACAATATGACTCTTCAATAATTGCCACCAATTAAATATATAAACTCATTATGGCAGAACTCCACAGGGAGGAATCAGGATGCGAGCATCAACACCAGGGCTGAATCGGACGAGCCCTAACCATGGAAACCATCCGCGATTCAACCTTTGGCAAGCTAGTGCGCGTCTTTACTGGGAATCGACTACTACGATACCCAGAGGAAATTGATCCGTCTCTTTGGACAGAATGTTTGAAGCCAGAACCCAGCGTCAGAGATGAAGAAGCAGCGACGTTGGCGGACACCGAGGAGGACACCTTCGGTCTATATGCCGTCATGTCACAGGCGTCACGAGCTTCGCGCCGTCTGAATTCCATAGCTTCAACCGCTGGCGTCAATAAAGGAACACCGCTCCTGGTGGACTGGCGTGGACCAGATGATCCTGAGGTACATATACATACTTGCTTCGCTGGGCCCGATTCCCCACCATTCAAATACTTACACTCATGTAGAATCCTCAAAATTGGAGCACAATCAAAAAGTTCCTTGTAAGTTGCCAGATCTGGATGTTGACGTTTGCCATCTACATCGGATCAGCGATCTATACTCCGGGGATTGAAGGTGTTTCGGAACAATTCGGCGTGAGTAGAGTTGCCGCAACACTCGGGTTGACGCTCTTCGTGCTGGGATATGGCCTGGGTACGTAACTATTCATAACTAACTACACACGCAACGATCAGCACACTGACAATTCTATCAGGTCCAATGGTCTGGTCACCTCTCTCAGAACTACCAACCGTAGGCCGAAACCCTACATACATCCTCACCCTCGTCGTCTTCGTCTTTTTCCAGTTCGCCGTCATCTACGCAAAGAACTTCGGCATGTTCCTGGCATTCCGGTTCCTAACCGGCTTTCTCGGCTCTCCAGCCCTTGCAACCGGTGGAGCATCCATGGGAGATATGTGGAACCCGAAAGTGCGCGACTACATGATCGCCATTTGGGGCTGTTTCGCCATCTCAGCGCCCGTCCTGGGCCCTCTCGTCGGCGGCTTCGCTTCGTCGGCGAAAGGATGGACATGGACTATCTGGCAGCTGCTCTGGGCTAGCGGGTTCACTCTGGTCCTACTGTTTTTCTTCCTCCCGGAAACCTTCACGCCCAATATCCTGTGGCGACGAGCACGCCGCGTACGGAAGATCACGGGGAATTCGAACTACAAATGCGAAGCGGAAATCGAGCTCAGCCACGTCAGACCTAAGGTAAGTAACAGCAACAGCCCAGCCCAACCCTAACAACAATCACCTAACGAAAACCAAATAGGACGTCCTCTTCGAAGCCGCCATTCGCCCATTCCAACTCTGTTTCCTCGAACCAATCGTCTTCTTCCTAAACCTCTACATCTCCCTAATCTACGGCATCCTATACATCTGGTTCGAAGCCTTCCCGATCGTCTTCAGCGAAATCCACGGCTTCAACGCGGGCCAAACCGGCCTCGCCTTCCTCGGCATCCTAATCGGGGCAATCCTCACAATAATGGGCTACTTCTACTGGAAAGCGAAGTACCAATCTCAGCACTTCGACCAGAACTGGAACATCGCACCCGAACACCAGCTCCCACCGGCGTGCGTAGGGGCGTTCGCACTCCCGGTTTCGCTGTTCTGGTTTGGATGGACGGGGAATTTCCAAAGCGTGCATTGGATAGTGCCGATTCTTGCGTCGGTGGTTTTCTCGGTGGGGGGGTGTTTGATCTTTAATGGGATCTTTTGTTATCAGGCTCATGCGTATCCGAAGTATGCGGCGTCGGTGTTGGCGGGGAATGATTTTATGAGATCGTCGTTTGGGGCTGGCTTTCCCTTGTTTGCCACGGCTATGTTTCATAATCTTGGAGTCGGCTGGGCGTGTACGCTTCTCGGCTGCTTGACTGTGTTGTTTGTGCCGTATCCCTTTATTTTGTTGCGATTTGGGAGGAGGTTGAGGATGGCGAGTAAATATGCCAGGCATGATATCTGATTTGTCTCGGTTTGAATGTATGTATGTACATATACTAGTTTACGAATTTTGGATGCGATGAATTGTAGTCCATGATGAATATAATTCTTTCATGTCGGTAGCAGCAGCCAATCTATATGCGAGCTGGTGTATTATTGACCATAGAAAACAAAAAGGCGTTCAAATCCATCGGTCAATCATTGACAAATCCAAATAAGGTATTCCACGTAAAAAAATAAAATAAAATAAAATAAAATCCAAATCCCAGGGTCCCATCGCAACCATCCCATCCCAATTCAATAACTAAAAAGAAAACCGTCTTTTATACATGACGTAAACCATCAATGGACAAAGTGCAAACAGGGCGAATGTACAGGTAGATCGATCAGCAGGGGGAACTGTCTCGTAAGTGGTGTGATAGGGGCGTTGATTGGTTTTGTTCATTATCATCGTGATTTCAGAATTCAATGTCGTATTAGTCGTGTGTCGTTCGTGCCGTCGGGAAGCCCGTCATGTATGAGGTCGAAAATAAAGGAAATGAAGAGGCAAAAAGAAACAAAAGCTGAGACCGAGTGTGCCCTTCCCATATCTCGTAGATTATTCTTCGTCCGTCAACTGCCGTATCAGCTTGATGCTGAGAATCATCACCAACAAGCCTATCGTTGTCACCACCATCAGGCCAAATCCAAACCATCCGAGAACCATCGCGGAGCTTCCAACCCCACTCTTGACACTCCCATTGCCCATGTCTTGGGCAATGGTGCTCGCCGCGACGGATGCCGTGTGCTGCCATAGTACCGAAACCAGCACAAAAACAGATGCCACGAAAATTAAAGCCAATGCTGCCTGAGATACGGGTCGTGAAGGGAATGGCTTCACCTCACGCTCAGAGCCTTCCGAGTCTATCTCTTCGTGCCATCCAGGGAAAGTCGCCAGAAGGATGAAGCAGAAAAATGCAAGGATCACGGCAACGATTCTATAAAAGTCAGCTGATCTAACCATGGATACAGATAGAATCACCAAAGAGTGCTGGGAAACATACAGGAGATATGGGAACACCACTGCATCCTTAAACGTCGATGCTACCCAAATCAGGTTCAGCGGATCTTGGTCAACAGTAACAACCTCAGCCAGAGCTGTGGCATTCGAATTGCATATGTAGGCACCTCCTGATGGCGATACGCAGATTCCGAAGTACCCTACACGGACTTCCATCTCCGCTCCTCCAACGATGTTCGCTGTTGCTTGCACGACGCCGGGGTCCACTTGCGCAAGGTTAAAGACGGGATCGTAGCGTTGGTAATAGAGAGAGATCAAGAATATGCTGGGCATTTGTGGGGAGGACGACGAGCATCCGGCCAATAAGAGGGCTGATATTGTCAGTTGCTTTCCGGAGGTGACAGCATGGCATGGGAGGCAGCTTACAGAGAAGAATAATGGTAACTGCAATAATTATCATAAGCACATGATGGTAACCGATCATGGGAATGAAACCTATAATCAAATAGACAATCAGTATACACAAACAGCAATCGTTTTGACAACAAGGGCTACATACGGGCCATCTTAGTCTTAAAGTCGGACGCCATGTTAACCGGTCAAGTCTCAGCCAGGCTTATACCACTTGATTGCTTCACACCGTAGTCTGTATGACTCTCTTCTCGGGACCCCGAGAAGGAGTGTTCGAAGAGCGCTTCTTTGCGCACTATGTCAGTGAGTGCTGGTTGGTCCCGCAACCCGATCAAGCTGTTTTATCGTGCGATAGTCTCAGTTGTCAGTCTGAGCTGTGGAACTCTATGTCTGATGAAGGTGATCGACGAATGTCGGAAGGTTCTGCAAGTCTTGACGTGGGTATGGAATGTGGGCTTGGGGGCACGAGCTCGAGGAACGATCCCTTGACGAATGGAATACTGTCGGCGGAATCCAAGGAATGTATGTCTGCTTTGCGTCGCGGCGCTCACGAGACCTGGACGGTGTACAAGAGATATGTCAGATAGTCGAATTAAAAATCCGATAAGCTATGCCCCGATCTGGGGTTCGAATTCAACGACTTAGTGCCAAAAAGAGGCAAAGCTGAGTACAAGGAATGGAGAGGGGAGAAAGAGGGAAGGGGAGGTTTGGGGAGAGAGATCGTAGCTAGCCAAATCCACTCTTGCAATGAATGCCTGCCTCCCAAATTTTTCTTTTTTTTTCCCGCACAACGAGCGAGAGTTGAGGTAACTGGTGACGATGGTGACGATAATGTGGTGGCTGGGAATGGAGAGTATACTCCCAATGGAGGAGGCTGGGCATCACCTTTTGTTTACACCCGCTGGTTTCCCGGTAACCAGGACTCACCGCCTACTGTTCCTGAGGGATCCACGAGGCCCCATTGGGTCTGATCCGCCCCACAGATGGCGCTACGATCGATCAGGGACCAGGGATTGGACCAGGCACGACTTTAGCCTTGGCCCCGCACGGCTTATCAGCCCTAATCCCTTATGGAGTATGGTCCCTTTCCAGCCTCCAGCATTTACGTCTCATAGTGGGTTCTGTTCAGGTTTCATACGGACGATCCATGCAAAGAAATTGACTAAAAATTACTCAAAGTATCCCAATGTCGATCGTCTATGTCCAATATTGCCCTAGGTAGGGTATACACGACCAAAGATAATATAGAATAATGCGATACCTCAAAAAACACCGTGTATCTCATCCAGATAAAACCCAACAGGATGATAACAATGCCAAGAAACGCCAACACACCAAAGTTTCTGCCGTTCTGTATGGAGTTGGCAATGCATACTGTCCAGAATCACTTGTTTGTGTATGAAAATCGGCTGAGGTTGAATGCAACAGGTGTCCGGGGATGACCAGTTTCGTCACCATCGACATCCTCTTCTTCACTGTCGGGAACAATCATGTCTTCACTTCCTTGAGCAATAGGACATGTGGCAGGAATCGGGTTTGCCTCAGGAGTGCTTGCCCCGATGTTACTGCCCAGGGCACTTGACGTTGAAAGAGAAGGGGTGAAGTTCAGAGATCGTGACCGGGCCAGCGCGGTCTGGCCGAGACGTTGCAAAGGTGTCAAGCGTTGCCGCCTCGAAGGACTCCGGGCCACCCCAGCTTTCACCCCAGAGGGCGATCTAGAGATAAACGGGCGATGAACTTGAGAATCTTTTGTCTGAGAGGTATCCACGTTGGAGCTGGTACTCCCTTCTGCAGCTTGGAAAGTAAACCTAGACAACAGAGAAGTGTTTTGTTTGGTAATATGATAGTCAAGCACCTGACGAAACACTTCAGGGTTGGAGTCCTCGCTAACGGAATCTTTACTTGGCGTTTCAGCACTGTCCTGTGGCTCTTCTGCAAGGACTTTCTGCTCCACAATTGCCGAATCTTCCGACATGGAAAGTGTCGTTGATGGAGCTGTTTCTTCATGGTCGCCTTCGCGAGGCTCATTTCGCGTTTGAGACCTGACCTTGCAGGGGTTCGCAGTCTCTGACGAGCCTGCAATTTGTGTCATGATGTCCTCGGCTACTTCATCAGAAAACACATCCACAGCCGACTTCCGCGCTTTCTTGCTTCGCGTCACCTTTGCACCGCTCGGGCTTGAATCATTCGCGGGGTTAGCAAAGAAACGGCTGCGGCAATCTGGAAGACTTGGAAGGCTGGCCTCGTCCGTTTCAGAACAAAGTCGCTGCCGCTTGGTGGGCTGCAAGGTAGATGCTCTAGAGGCATGGGCCAAAAATGTGTTCCGCTCCACACTCCTAATCAGTGGACTCGATACCCTATTCACAGTAGCGGATCGGGCGAGGCCCGGCCGGGGCGTAACAGGGCTGCTCTCCCAGGACCGGTTGGCATGTCGTTCCAGTAGCCTTTGCTGGCTGGGGGAGGGGGAGAGGCTATTTGGATCCAACTCAGCTAAAGGAGTCCGTTTCGGAGTAAAGAATGAACTGATGGGCTTGTTTGGCTTCAGTTCGGCGGATGAACCAAGCGTCTGGCGGCGTTGGATGCCATGCATGAGCTTACCCGGGGGTGCAGGCCTCAAGACCAGTGGTTCTTTTGTTGTGGGATCCAAGTCACCACGGGCGACTCCCACTGCAAGCTCAGGCTCCACATCACCGCCAATGTACGGCAATTCTTCCAGGTTTACATCATCCTCCGGTGGAGTCAGAGTAACGAGCTTTCCAGCTCGGGGGCAAAATACTCTCTGGTAAAGGAAGGTGAGCTCTGCTTGTTTGAAGTTTTCCAGGTAATTCGTGGGAACATGATACTGGCCCTCAAATTGAAGCATCCGTAGTGTTTTCTCAACATTCCTGTATTTGCGAATACACCGATAGGCAGTTTTCAAACCCAGCCTTGCAATATTGGGTAGGTAATCACATCCACTGAGGATACACATGCGTCTAAAGTCAGCATCAGTCCATCCTATAAGACTGACTTCGCGACAAGCTGTAAAATCTGCTCGGTTAATCTCAATACAGTCGCCATGCTGATCTAGTTTGGACAGCAATCTTTTGGCACCGAACACCAGCAAATCAGAGTCTTCTGATATGATACCATTGATAATGCCCTGGCGCTCAAGGTATACGAGTTGTGCATCTGCCTCATAAGGAGCCACCACATACTGAACATTCATCTTTTTCAGTTCGTCGATCAATTGACGAGCCATTAAAGGGGTCACATCCACCGCTTTCTGAAATTCTTGATAAGCTTCTGCTGTCCTTCCCTTCCGCTGCAGTTCCAACCCAAGGGTTTTGCTTTCCTGACGCCGCTGATGCCGATCAGACTCGGTACCGGCTTTACTCGGTAGATTGTCACCGTCGAAGATAAGATATGGTGTCACTCCAAAATAAAGCAACATGCGGACCCGGTTGAGTACGAAATCGACATGTCTACAGTCACGTTAGCACCTACCCCGAAGAATATTCCATACAAAATTACACACTTGGTCGTCGGCCGGCCCAAAACTAAGTCCACCGCGCAGGCGACCGTACCACGATGCAACCATCCATATGCGTCGACCCCAAGGGTTTGTCCGCTAAACTTTTTCAGATGACATGGTTTTTGAATTGACTTGAGAAGACCATGAAGCCCTAGCTATTCAGTCAATCTTCTTTGAGCACTCCAAAAAAAAGACAAAGTAAAAAGCTGGGCATACCTTTAATGCCCATTGTGGAAACCTTCGAAAGTCGAGCTGCTCCTCGTCAGGTTGTCAAATCGAACATCCAAAACGGGTAACAGCTCTGACAGTCGATGGTTAGGACTCGAGAGGAGCGGCGGGCACGAGAACCATGGGGAGAAGCTTTCGTAGAAGTAGAAGTTGGAAGGCAATCAACCACCTTGGCGGGTCATTGAGTTATGTATGACCTAAACAACGAGATTGGAATGTAAGTTGACTCCCAGTGTCAACCCTCCGACGCGCAACAGAAACGCGATAGGCCGATGCATACAGAGGAAGCTGTGATTGGCCGGATGCTGGCGGCGTTTGCCTCCACCATCACCGCCTTATCATTCTGCCGACCGATAAGGATCGCGGAGAGATTACGAAAAAAAAAAAAAAAACAAAGGCACCATATTAACCCCCTGGTGGGTTACGGCTTCTCAAGCAACGACAATCAGCTTCTATCAACAGAAGTCTCAAATAAAGCGAAAGAAAATCACAATACATAAAAAAAAAAAAAAAAAAAAAAGAAAGAAAGGAAAAAGAAAAAGGTTCTAGATTGCAACTTACTGTGCGCGGTATATAACATTATACTGCCTACTTTCGTCTTTCATTCAAATAGGAGGTTTTTTAAAGTCGCACAATGCCGAAGTCTTTACAGAAGGTCCATAAGCATATCGCTAAAAAGCGAGGGGTAGTTGACGCACTCCATGAGAACAGCAGAGATGCGAAGAGATTGCGCCGCGCAGGCATTAGAGACGATCGGGTTGCTCGTGTCTCTGCCACCCTGGCCCGTGGACGACAGTCATATAGTAAGCTCTAAAAGGGTTCCTCTGTTTTTGATCGGACTTTTCTAATATTTTTCCTAGTTGACCGGATCGTATACTTCCACGAGAATGTTCCGGAGGATGCAGGCGTTTTCTCGGAGAGTGACATGATGAATTTAATTGTTAGGTAAGTTGAAGCAGGAAACTGTCCCTTTAGCGATTATTCGATGTTGCATGCACATTAACACTTCCGGACATAGATACATCAACCGAAGCGTCCCTGAGATCGAGCAATTACAGAGCGAGCGGCGGAAAGGTCGACCCCCAAGCAAACGGGAGGAGAATCTCCTACAGCGAACAGACGCAGAGAATAAGGAGTTTAAGACCGGTTTCTGGCTGCCTGATCTTGGCCAGGAAGATGTACTCAAAGCTCTTGCCTCATGGAATGGAGATTGGTCCGGACTCAGCAGCATGAAGTTCATTCGCTTGACCAAGGATGGTGGGAAGCAGTCTTCGGCTTTTCCTCCCAAAGGGATGTCGTGATATTTTGTTATGGGTTTGTTTTGGGACCGCATCGCTCGCATTGGTTTTGGCACATAATGGCGTTGACGAACGTATATACCAGCATCTTGATGTTCGTTAGTATGTTTCGAGGTTTGGCTTCAAAAGCACATTCAACAAAATCGTCTGCTATGCATCTGTAACGGTATTTCGTATCCCGATCGGGTTATTACCTATCATATGAAAGAGTAAACATAATAATGGCAACGGAACAGTCAGCCTTCTCATCAGAAACACCGGCAGTGATGCTGACTCTCAAATGTGTTATGTCTGTCAGCCAAAGCTGTAGCTTTGATCTAACTTATGCCAAATCCTAAGATCGACACTTTCTACTCTTGGTTTGCCTCATACTATAAACTCATTAAACTCGAAGGTCTCCGGGCAGTGACCACGCGAGCCCCGATCCTTGGGGCATACTTCATTAGACTTATTCAATTGGTCTCTCTCTTTCTGTTATCTTACTGGTATTTGTAATTGCTTTGGGTTATTCCTTTACTTGGTAGTAGCCACCAGTTGTAAAACCGACGGTAATGTCACAAAATATATTCCTACGTTTCCAAGTGTTGGACTTGGCGAGTTGTGGTATCACCTGTAGATGAATACAGATGGGAAGAGGATAATATATCGTCAAAATTGCTACCAGTTGCCTAAGGTGTTATAACATTAAACAATTCTGGATTCAATGGAACATACTTCATTAGTATACAGTATAGGTCAATAGGTCACTCCTGTTCAGGTGATGGGACGGGAAAGGATGAATGCCTCAGGCCGACAAGTCGAGAGCTCCCGAGCTTGTTCTTGGCAGCGGTAACATCATCAGTTTCCTGTTCGTCACCTCTAAACTTTCATTCAAATTCTCCCCCCCCCCAACCCAACATCCTTCGCATCCATCTAAACCTCACAATTCATCATGTTGTCGCTACGCACCATCGCCCGTTCCGTGCCTCGCACTATCTCCCGCTCCATTGTCACCTCTTCCCGCTCTGCTCTCTTCCGACCCGTCCCGACGGCTGCTCCTAAAAATGTCATTCTGCAATCTGCTCTGAAGCCCTCCTATGCTGCTTTCTCGACCTCTAGCGTATTCAAGCAGTCTCAAGCTGAAGGTAAGATGAAGTTGAATGCATACTCCATCCAAAATCTGGTGGCCGAATTACAAGGGAAAAGAAGAAAGAAACCCCCTCTAGACTGGTGGCATGATGTGAGACCCGTTTCCCTCGATTGCGCTGACAAGGACTTCCATCTGCAGGTGACTTTGAGCTTGCTGCCAAGCTTGAGGATGAACTGAAGCATGAGAAGGCTTCCGGTCTTGAGGATCTGGATTCCTCCGTCCAGAACATCCAGTACGTTCTTCAGAACAACTCCTGGGAGGTATGTGCACCGAATCAAATGTTTTCGCATTAACAACGGCTGATGTATGTCTGCTTGCAGGTCAAGGACGTCCCCGGTGACCAGGAAGTTGTGTTGACGAAGAAATTCGGCAATGAGGAGTAAGTTTTGGGTCTCCACTTCCCATCGCTTCTTTCTATACTCCAATCCTCTTCCCATTCTTGTACCCTGCTCTAATGAATTCCTTGAAACAGGATTCGCCTCACCTTCACCGTTGCAGACCTTCAGAACTTGAGCGAACAAGAGGAATTCGATGACCAGGCGTTGAGTGACGAGCTGGATTTTGAGGCCGGCCACCAGCCCGTTAACAGGGGTGCCAATGGCAACGTTGCCCAGCACCCTGAGGATCGGGTTGCCCCGGCTGATCGCGAACTGGATGAGTTGGACCGTGACCTGGAGCCCAGCTTCCCTGCTCGCGTCAACATTACCGTAGAGAAGCCAAGTAACGGCGCTTTGCTGATCCAAACTGTTGTCCAGGATGGTCTCTTCCAGATCGAAGAGGTCTCCTACTTCTCTAAGCCTGACTTGGCACATGCCCAGACCGCTGAGAAGGACTGGGCTAGACAGAGCCTCTACGCTGGACCTCCCTTCGAGAACCTTGATGAGGACCTCCAAACCTTCTTGGAGCGTTACCTCGAGGAGAGAGGTATCAACGCAGAGCTCGCCAACATGATTCCTGACTATATCCAGGTGAAGGAGCAGAAGGAATACGTTCGCTGGCTTGAGAGTAAGTTACCGCAACCCTTGAGAAAGGATTCATATCTAACAGTGGAACTTTTAGACGTCAAGAACTTCATCTCCGCTTAAATGCGGATCAATGATGCATTAGTGTGTCTATAAAGATGCATCGGTTAAATCCCTACTCATAATTCTAATCTTGCCTTTCTCAACTTTCCTCGTGATCTTTTAGTGAGGGAGTTTATCATCACTTCCTGTCATGTTAGCTTGACGTCTGTCCATGCAAGTCGCCTATGACCATATTTGCTAGGCAGTGTGCACGTGTATCGATATAGAAACGAATCCAGCATCTAAATGTATTATATTCAAAACATCATACCAAAACGCCCTCGTGTTTGTACTGAGTTACAATATGGAATTATGATTCTTAAGATTACCCAAATTTAGAAGCGTTAAGTACCACCAATTCTAGAATGATGGTTGAATGATCACCATTCATATACCTGATTAGTAGATCGTTAGGTGAATATGTAATCATCATGCCTAACTATGTCTTGAAGTAATCCTGTGACAACACCAAAACGCCTCATGCATCCTAACCCTGCCTTAAGCATGTATACTCCAAAACCGCTCGAAAAGTACAAAGAATTCTAGGTAGAAGACCAATAGGCATTATATGCAAAGGGTTTCAAAACTCCATGCTTTCAGTTTTCACCTCCGTCATATCTTCGTTTCGCTCACGCTTCCCACCGCGTTCCTCCTTGAGAAGACCGGCAATGAACGAGCGGAAATAATCAACATATGGCTTGAGACTCGTTTTCTCGTAATCCTGGAGCTTGCGGCTTCCTCTCACATCAGAGTCATTGGGCATGCTTCCCTCCCCGTCTACAGCGTCTGTGCCTTTGCCGTTACTGGGGTTCTCTGCATCATACGCATCAATCTCCCCCAGTAGTTGGGTGACTGTGGGAACTGAAAGAGGGTCAAATTGCTCCGCCTTTCGAGCATCAATGGGAACACAGACGCGGCCGGTGCCAGGATGTATGACGAACGGGCTCTTGAGCAAGTGAATCATCTTCTTACTGACTTCAGAATCGAGGCGTGGATATGTGTACTCCAACACAATATCCTGCTTCGCGTCACGTAATGTAGAAGTGTTCAGAGTGCTGCTCTTCCCCGTCTTTGCGAGCGAGTCAATATCGGCCCATTTGCTCGTGCTGGAGCGGTCTGGTGACGACTCCCATTTCTTGCGTAATGCATCATTCAAGGCCTTGTCAGGAAGTAGCGCTAGGAGGCGTTGCGCCTGCTCCGAGCTGACAAAAGTGTCCTGGTCTACCAAGGTAGTCTGGGCGAAGTAAGGCTTCAGGATTTCCAGACTACGAGACATATGCGGATGCAGCGGACGCTTCAGATTGACACGCTTGCCGCTCTGGGCCCCTCCTCGCACGAGATCTAGATATCCTGCAATGGCCCGTCGCCGATCATCGGGAAGGTTGCGAGCACGGGGATCACAGACCCAGGCGTGGGCACCACGACGGCCAGAGTAAACCCATAAGATGTGTTGGAACCCAAAATCGTCCCGCAACGCCGTGTCGACAACCTTCATAGCCATGGTCACAAATGTCCAGCACTTTCCACAGATATTCGCCTTTTCACAACAAGATCGGATGTCGTCATAATCTGTCAAATCGATATCGAACACTAACTCCTTAGAAACTGGTTTCATCTGACCCCCTCGTAGAGTTTTCCGGTCGCGGGGGTTTGTATTGTAGACGGGGCCGATTTCAAAACGAGACGGGTTCATGCGTAGGATGTCTTTACGGAAGCTGTGATGACGTCAGTGATGTGTCTTATCCAGAGGCTGTCTGAGTTTGCTCACTTACAGATCTGCTGTCGCATAGGATTGATATCGCAGGTAGGCGTCATTCTGCAGGGTAAGCGCGAACTCACGGTTTCCAAAGTCTGGGGAAGGAACAATTCCGTGGTTCAGCCACTGAAAAAGGTAACGAAATGGAAAAAGCCGTTGATAGAAGGCAAGCATAGTATCTGTGTCTACGTGAGCGGGCTGCGGTGCAGAGGAACTGTACAACTATTGTTAGGCTGATTTGCTATCTATCGAGTGACTGGTGCTTACTCTACTGCATCCCGATTAGCAGAGCTCTCATTTCTCCTTTCTGGCGCACTAGATGCAGGAAATTCATCGTCATCGTCATCATCAAATAGTAGGTCTGCAAGTTTGTCTTTCGTATCGTTTCCGGTCGCTTCGGACTCCTTATCTTCGGGGACACTGGGTGTTGCATCTGTTGGAGGAGCATCTGGAAGGACTTCCTCATCATTGCGATGACCAGGGAACTCCTCAGGAGACACAGAGTGAGGCATTTTTGTGTTTTGGATGCTGTCTGTACGTTGAACTTGTCTCCGTATAGTGGAGTATACTGAATATCGTCTTTGGTCATTAACGCGACTGGACGCGCGCCGGACGCGCTTTCGCCCAAAGCCCTAAAGCCTAAGCCCTAAGTGGAACAAGCAACCTGGTCACATGATAATGAGCCCAACAAAGCACGTGCCATCGACCTAGACCTAACCGGAAACGGTCATTAGTATACTCCTACCCTGGGCCTCCGGGATACACGGCTCAGTGACTACAACGTTCTATTTTAATCACGCTAATGCTTCTCCATAAAGACGCAATGCTCTCTGTATCCACGCCTGAGCCTCAGAGGCCCTCGATGCCGTTTGCGGCAACTCGCGAGTCGTATCCCTCTCGATCAACTTTTATGGATGACGATTACATTCATCGCAAATCCTGAAGACTACCCACTTGAGGAGAATCCTACAAAAATCAATCAACGTATCACGTTATTTACTTGTGCTCAACCTTCATATATTCTGAATCCGGCTTTTCAGAAGATATCAGTGTCGTCATGCTCGAGAATTGATTCCAGCTGTGATCGCGCAATATCTTTTAGGTGTCGTCATTGACATTGTATGCACAGATGAAGTCCACGAAGCATGTAAAATTCTGCGCATTCTTCATGATTTGGTGGGACTGCTTCGATTCTGTACTGGCTTCCTTCGCTACGGCTTTCCTTTTTGCGCCTTGTGCCATGTGCACAACGTGAACTTCACGCTACTGTAAGCTTGCAGAACTTCCTTCTAGCCGGGCTCCACATTCCAGTGGCGCTTTTCTCGATTTTGCAGAGTTCCGCGAAACTGAAGCTCTTGGGCAATTACTGATGGCGCCACCAGACTGGCGTCATTGAGTTACAAGCGAGTGACCATAGATAGGGAAGATCTTTTGTTGACTAGCCTTGTGAACTGTTGACTGCCGTTTTTGAATGACTTCATAATTCAGTTTGGCCACAGTTATCTATGGGCCCCAGGAACAAACATGTCACAGGCCATCTAGCAATTTTTACTCAAGGAACAAAACTGTATCTACATGTTCCTTGAAGATTCGATAGCCGGATCGAGCTAGCATCGGTGGCCTCTCTTGAAGACTCGGCTGAAGTGATGACACCACGACTTCCTCTATAGTATATCCAATATCCCATCTCTTTTCCCGCAACCTCCGAAGACCTATTAGGGCATGTGGGTTCCTCACCTGGATACGATACCACATAGCACCCACCTCCCAACTTTATTGAAGATTTTGAGTCTTACCCACATACCACCCATTGCTTGTTCCACTAATCGACTTGCTAACGAACCGTGGTTCGTTATATCCCAGTTATACACTGCAGGCCATGGGCCGTATGTGTCAAGGAATCAAGATTTGCTTCTCCTCTTGAACCAGGCACCATATCTTGCTGCATATCGATACTACTGTGCCATTGTAGCTATCAATGAGCATCCGCACGGAAACGGCAAAAGACGCCGCCGTCATGGAGATATAAGTTCACTCCTTCTCTCTCCAGAAACGACTTCTTTCCCTCTCAGCACGCTTGTATCGAGCTTAAAAAGTCGCTCGCTCTTCTTTCATTCGTTTAATTCCAACTAATTGTCTTTGTTTGTGCTTTTGGTATCTGCTTTGGATAGGCCGATCATCCTTCGAGATGGTTAAGGGAACTATTGCTCTGCTGGCTCTGGCTGGCCCAGCACTCGCTGGTGTTATCCAGAACCGAGGTGTGGATCATGGGGCTCCGGCTACAATTGATCTGCCACCTCAAAAGGAGCCTCCTCAATGGACTGAGGCTCCCAACACGGCTCCTGGCCCTACTGGGTCTCACAAGGAGCCTCCTCACAACACGGAGCCTACTCCCCAGAAGCCTACTCAGGAGAAGCCTCCCAACAAGGAGCCCAGCAAGACGGAGCCTCCCCA